CTCGAGTTTGTAAAAGTCTTCCAGTAACAAGGTCCCATACCTACAAGACGAAAATAAGTTATTTCGAGAAACAAAAATACTCATGTTAGGAATTTATTATTATGAAACATTTAACATAATTAAGTAACCTTGCATGTGCCATCGAGGGAGCTTGATAAAAAAAATTGAACTTGAGCCACTTGATGCAGTTAATAGGCCCATTATAGAGGATAAAAGCTCCAACGAAAAATTTAGTTTTAAAGCCACAGTCCAACAATCTAATTACGTTATATAGGATTATGGATTTAGTTATTTCTTATTTATTGTTACAACTAATTACGTCATTCTAATCTTTCTAGAATGCTAAAATGCTCTATTAATTAAAAGTTAAAAATGTTTTTAAATATTCTATCATGAAAGAGTTGCTAAGTTGTCAAAGTTTCCTATTTAAATATTTTCACTCGAAGTAGCTAATATCCAAGTTAGTCAAACATTTTGTTTCACAATAATAGTGCAGTATAAGAAAACTAATCCAAGTCTCAACAATGTAAATTGCCAACGGTTAAATTGCCAAGCTCATCATGGTAACAATACTCTGTTGGAACAATCTTCTGTGTAAATAAAATAACTTAAAATAATTCAAACAAAATAAAATAAAACTTACAGAATTTATTTTGTTGAACCGAATCAATAATATAAAGACCAAGTCGAGTGTGTGACACTCTGTCCTTAAGACAGATTCGCCCCGCTACGGTGCTTACGGTTATGTGGCGTCTATCTCCCAGGATACAATGATCTTCACAAATTTGTAGTAGCACTTCAAACAAATTTGTTTGACGAACTAGAACCTTGTGTTCTATAACTCTCTAAATTTTTTTCTAAAATAATATGAAGAATAAAGGACGCAAGAGAGCAAAATGAAGGCAAGGAAAATGAATTTTCAGAATCAATCAAAATTGGAATGGGGCTGCCTTTATATAGGCTTTGTTGGCACCTATTCAATTTGAATAGAAAAGGTATGAAGAAGGGACATACCCCTTCCTTTAAAATAAAGAGACACCATGAAAGGTTTGCACCCTTTCATTCAAATGGAGGTTTGATCCTTCCTTTAAAACAAAAAGACACCATGAAAGGTTACACCCTTTCATTCAAAATGGAGTATATTTCAATTCACAACTACCTCTTTATAAATTTTCCAACAATCCCCCACATGAATGAAATTGACAGAGAGAAAATGCAACAACATGATGTAATTACAGAGAGTACAGAAAATGAATATCTCAAAGGATAGGTAGTTTTTGGCTTTGAACCTTCCCTTGTGAGACACTATCGGATTTACTAGCTAACCAGTGAACGTGATGTCTTGAACTGTTCAGCCGTTTGTGTAAACCAAGACAATAGAACTCACACAGTATATCTCCAGACACAGTTTAGTTCTCACTATTGTGTTCATTTTGGCCCTGAACAACCTGGTCTTTCATGAGTGCTCTAAAGACTTGTAGCCCTTCACAAATCTTATAGGACCGGCCCAGTTCACACTCACATAGGTGATTCTTATAAAGAGTATCCTGCTATACTTCACTAGGTTAACCTAGATATAAGAATCATTAAAAGTTTTACTTAACCTAAAACGCTGCAGACATCACTATTTCATCATAGAAATGGGTAGGAGATAAACTCCCTAGTGATCCTTCTGAGTCATTCACAACTCGGTTGTCCCTTTGAACTAGATCTTGGGATCTCCAGTCAAACTAGGTTGGGTTGCCGTTGTGGTAACTCTTATTTAATAGGCTTAAGTCCCATTCCCCTCGATGAATTCTCAACTAACTCTCTTGCTAACCCTTTGGTTAGTGGATCCGCTATGTTGTCTTTAGACTTAACATATTCTATGGAAATAATTCCATTAGAGAGTAGTTGTCTCACGGTGTTATGTCAACGACGAATGTGTCGTGACTTACCGTTATACATATGACTTTGTGCTCTACCAATTGCTGATTGACTATTACAATGTATGTATATAGCAGGCACCGGTTTTGGCCATATTGGAATATCTTCAAGGAAGTGGCGAAGCCATTCTGCCTCTTCCCCTGCTTTGTCTAAAGCAATGAATTCAGATTCCATAGTAGTCCTAGCAATAAAAGTCTGTTTGGAAGATTTCCAAGATACAGCCGCCCCACCAAGAGTAAAGACATACCCACAAGTGGACTTTGAGTCTCTTGTATCCGATATCCAATTTGCATCATAGTATCCTTCTAGTATAATTAAGCCCAATGTTACGAGTAAATCGGAGATATCTAAGAACCCTTATAATTGTTTTCCAGTGTTCTACTCCCGGATTACTCGTATATCTACTTAATTTACTTACTGCATAAGCTATATCTAGGCGAGTGCAGTTCATCAAGTACATTAAGCTTCCAATAATTTGGACATACTCTAATTGAGAAATACTTTTCTGTACATTCTTAGAAAGATACAAATTAATATCTACAGGTGTTCTTACAAGATGATCATCATCTTTGCTGAATTTGTCAAGTATTTTCTCAATATAATGAGATTGTGACAAAGCATATCCTTCTGATGTTTTGGTAATTTTCATACCAAGTATTACATCAGCAATGCCCATGTCCTTCCTGTCAAAATGTTTATTCAACATTTTCTTGGTAGTTTTAATCACGTCATTATTACTACCAATGATGAGCATATCATCTACATAAAGACATACAATGACATAACCTTTATCTGTGTTTTTAATATAAACACATTTGTCACACTCATTAATTTTAAATCCATTTGACATCATTGCCTTGTCAAATTTCTCATGCCATTACTTTGGCGCTTGTTTTAAACCATATAATGATTTAACCAATTTACACACTTTCTTTTCTTTTCCTGGAATAGAAAATCCCTCTGGTTGTTCCATGTAAATTTCTTCATTTAACTCACCATTTAAGAAAGCGGTTTTAACATCCATTTGATGAATTTCTAGAAAAAAAAAAAAAAAAAAAAACTGAGATTTCAGAATCACAAGGATATTCTAGACAGAGGGAGAGGGCATACCTTTCTGATAAGCTCGAGGTTGAGTTCATCGGGAGTCAAGAGCATGTCGGCGCTAGGGTTCCGGTAAAACATGAACTCGCGTTCTCCGTCGGCTTTCAAGGTCACGAAGGCGAGGGCAGTCCTGGCACCCTTGTCGAAGAGGATGCCGTCGCCGGAGACGCCGTTCTCCTTCAAGATCCCGGCCAACATGTGGCCGAACTCGTCGTCGCCGAGTTTTCCGACGAACGACGACTTCCCTCCGAGTCTGGTGATGGCGATCGCCACGTTCGCCGGAGCTCCGCCGGGAGCCTTGAGGAATCCCGGCGCCTCGGCCAGCGACACTCCAGACACCGTCGGCACGAAGTCGATCAGCATCTCCCCAAAGCACACGATCAGACTCCCTGACGACGCTACTCCATTGTTGGGCGCCTTCCCCAGCTTTGTCTAAAGCTATGAATTCAGATTCTATAGTAGACCTAGCAATACAAGTCTGTTTGGAAGATTTCCAAGATACAGCCACCCCACCAAGAGTAAAGGCATACCCACTGGTGGACTTCGAGTCTCTAATATCCGATATCCAATTTGCATCACAGTATCCTTCAAGTACTGCTGGATATCTAGTATAATGAAGCCCAATGTTACGAGTAAATTGGAGATATGTTAGAACCCTTATAATTGCTTTCCAGTGTTCTACTCTCGGATTACTCGTATACCTACTTAATTTACTTACTGCATAAGCTATATCTGGGCGGGTGCAGTTCATCAAATACATTAAGCTTCCAATAATTTGGGCATACTCTAATTGAGAAATACTTTCCTGTACATTTTTAGAAAGATACAAATGAACATCTACAGGAGTTCTAGCAAGATGATCATCATCTTTGCTGAATTTGTCAAGTATTTTCTCAATATAATGAGATTGTGACAAAACATATCCTTCTGATGTTTTAGTAATTTTCATACCAAGTATTACATCAGCAATACCCATGTCCTTCATGTCAAAATGATTATTCAACATTTTCTTGGTAGTTTTAATCATGTCATTATTACTACCAATGATGAGTATATCATCTACATAAAGACAGACATAACATTTATCTGTGTTTTTAATATAAACACATTTGTCACACGCATTAATTTTAAATCCATTTGACATCATTACCTTGTCAAATTTCTCATGCCATTGCATTGGCGCTTGTTTTAAACCATATAATGATTTAACCAATTTACACACTTTCTTTTCTTTCCCTGTAACAGAAAACCCTTCTGGTTGTTCCATGTAAATTTCTTGATTTAACTCACCATTTAAGAAAGCGATTTTAACATCCATTTGATGAATTTCTAGATTGTATAGAGATGCAATGGCAATTAGCATTCTAATGGATGTGATTCTAGTAACCGGTGAGTATGTGTCAAAGTAATCTAGACCTTCTTTCTGATTGAATGAAAAGGAGTTTTAGATAATTTTGCCTCAACGCAAACTTCACATTTATGATTTGAATCAATGTTAAATTTAGGTAAACATTCCATATTAATTAATCTACGCAAAGATCCATAATTAACATGTCCTAGTCTACCATGCCATAAATTTGAAGACTCAAGCAAGTAAGAAGAAGATGTAGTATTATTAATAACTGAGGGTACAACGATCATTACATTTAACTTGAAAAGGCCATCAGACATGTAACCTTTTCCTACATACATCCCGTTTTTGGTAAGTACAAATTTGTCACTTTCAAAAACTAGCCTAAACCCATTCTTACTCAACAAAGATCCAGAAACTAAATTCTTGCGAATGTCCGGTACATGTAGCACATTGTTTAGAGTGATTTCCTTTCCTGATGTCATCTTGAGTACAATCTTTCCTTGTCCTTCAACTTTGGAAGTTGAGGAGTTGCCCATAAAGAGTTGTTCACCATTGTCCACTATCGAATAAGATGTGAACATCTTTTTGTCGGCACAAATATGGCGAGTAGCACTAGTGCCCACCCACCATTCTTTAGGATTTCCAACAAGATTAGCCTCGGAAACAACTGCAGAAAGATTGATGTCATCGACACCATTGGAAATATTGTCCACTTCGGTCATATGGGCTTGAGCAGGCTTCTTGCTTGTTCTTCTTTTGCTTTTGCCTTTGCTACGGCAATCCTTGGCCCGATGTCCCTCTTTTTCACAGATGTAACATTTGACATTAAACTTGTATTTTTTATTTCCCCCCCCTTTAGAGCCTTGTGATGAACTTTCTCCAGAAGACTTTCGTTTCTTGGTTTTGGAAGCATGTTCCACCACATTTGCCTTAGACTCCATAGGATGCTTACCAGCCCCCTTTTCAGAATTGCAGTTGTCCTCCTCAATCTTCAAACGCACAATTAATTTGTCCATAGAAATTTCTTTGCGCTTGTGTTTAAGGTAGTTCTTGAATTCCTTCCAGTCTTTTGGTAATTTTTCAATTAAGGCTGCAACTTGGAAGGATTCACTAACAGACATGCCTTCTGCGTGAATGTCATGCAGAATGAGTTGAAAATCTTGAGCTTAGCTGATCACAGTTTTTGAATCAACTATTACAAAATCTAGGAATCTGCTTACCACAAATTTCTTTGAAGCCGGCATCTTCCGTCTTGTACTTTTTCTCTAACGATTCCCAAAGTTCATTTGCTATCTTGATTGGACTGTAGACGTTGTATAATGTGTTGTCAAGTCCGTTCAAGATGTAGTTCTGGCAAAGGAAATCCGCATGTTTCCAAGCATCAACCGCAACAACCACTTGCCGGTCGGTTTCATCCTCTTTCAGGATAGGAGCATCTTCATGGAGGAAACGAGCCAGGTTCAGAGTTGTAAGATAGAACAACATTTTCTGTTACCATCTTTTAAAGTCAGTTCCTGAGAACTTCTCTGCCTTCTCTCCATGATTTATTGGTACTGTCATCATAGGAGAGGGGGTTGGTGCAATTGCAGCCACCACAATAGTACTTGTTGGGGCATTTGTTTCAGTAGCCATCAATTCTAATTTATAAAACAAAATTATAATTAGAATTTACACTATACAAAAAATTAAACCAAATGCACATAATTAAATTCTGTAAAAATAAAAAAAACAATAATGTAACTTTTATTTTCCAATTAATTTGGAAATAAAATAAAATTTTATTCAACCAAATTAATTCCACACAAGAAATTAAATTTTGTAAAATAAAAGAAATAAGAATATAACTTTTATTTTTCAATTAATTTGGAAATAAAATAAAATTTTATTCAACCAAATTAATTCCACACAGGAAATTAAATTCTGTAAAATAAAAGAAATAAGAATATAACTTTTATTTTTTTTTCAATTAATTTGGAAATAAAATAAAATTTTATTCAACCAAATTAATTCCACACAGAAAATTAATTTCTATAGCACTTCAAAAATTAAAATACTAAAACAAAATTTTAAATAAAGAAAACTCATAAAATAATCTCTAAAATCCAAAATTAATTTCTGAAAAAATTCCACAAAAATATATTCTGAATTGTTAATGGCACCAGTATCGTACTACTAGTTGTTGTCAAAGAAAAGAGACAGTATATTACTAATATCTGTCAAATAGCATATAATCACTATTTATTTTTCTAACTAGAATATTATTCTGTAAATCTAGAGAAAATAATTTTCTTCTGAAATTATTTACGAAGAATGAAAAAAAAGAAACAAACGAAAAATTCTGTAAACAGAATAATTCGGATCTGTCTTAAGATTGTTGGAACAATCTTCTGTGTAAAAAAAATATTGTCCGCTTTGGAGTTAAGGGAGCTGGTCCCCCTCTCACGGTTTTAAAAGGCCTATTGACAAGTGAAGGAGGCCAGTGCGCTTTGTAAGATGGAAGTGAGAGTTCCTTCTTGGTTGATGTGGGATTGATCCAACAACTGTAATAGATATCCACCAACACTTATAATATTATATGAAAATATTATCTGTATATACTTTTAAAACCAAAGAATTCTTCAAATTACTACGAAGTAACATGAGACAGAGTGCGAACATGTAAGCCTCTCCCTCTGGCTCTGCTTGCATGGAGGTTATAGAGCTATAGATTCGATAGTTGACAATTTCTAGCAAATCGCAAAATCGAGGAATTGATGGCTTCTCCTTAAACCATTCACTCAGATGACCATCTTGATCTCCTCTACTTACCTTTGCCCACGTTTTAACTCTATACCTCCATGTCTATGGCTCTACTCCTCTGTGTAAGTAGTCGAATGCTAAACACGGATGTGATGATGATTCATAGTGTAATAATCGGATATGTTGCCCCTCTAATATATCGTGTCTTGTTTACCCACAATTGTGTGTGTTTTGATTACTATGAGCGAATAGTAGTAATTTTTGTGTTGCGTTTTAATGAAGAGTATTGAAAAGTATACACGGTGGATGGCTTTGATACGATTCGACAATCGGCCTCTATTTTTGGCATCTTTGTTTGTAATTTGAGTTCAAGTACTTTTAAGATTTTTCTAGGTTCCCAAAACCATTCTTGAGTATGTTAATGCAAAAATACAGCCTGTAATTATAGATGATTCGATAACTAAGAACAATGGTATTCTACTGAAAAGGATTCAGGTGTGTTAAAAGAGGTTTGAATGGCTGATATAATCTCTCCC